GCTGGTGAAGATAGAGTGGAGGGGATCCTCCTGCCTGCCCAGAGCTCTGTGTGTTAGAGAACAGTATTTGGAAGCAAGTCATGTAATTGCTTATTATAATGGAGTAAGTATTGAGTAAGGCATTCCCTTCTAACTCTTTTCTGTTGTAAGCCAGTACACATTTACAAAAAGCTTTTTTTTTCCTTCTCAACATGTACAAAATTTTCCTGGATTTCTATTAAGATGCCAAGGCAGATTTTTTTTTCCCCAACTTCAGATGCAATTTTAGCAGGTGAGTAATTTTTGTACAAACCATCTTCTACTTTTTCATAAAGAGGATAAAAAGCTGAAAGATCGCCTTGGACAGAGGAGGCATACCGGGGTTAATAAGATTCACTGTTAGGCACCATTTTCTCTGTGTCTTATTTTTGCACACAAGTGCTGGATTCATAATGACCTGTGTGAATTCTAGATAGCAAATCATCAGTCTTTTTATGTTCTTTTAAGTGGATTTTTTTCTGTGTTGAAATTTAATTCATTTACCAAGAGCCCTCAAAACCATTACATATCCCCATAGCTATCCCTAAATCCTGACAGCATAAACAGATACACATGTACATCCCCCTGAACATGTATGGCACTTTTAGGATATTTCCATTCAGGAATTTTCTGTTTAATCTAGGATTTACTTCCCCTGTGTTGTAAAACAATTACAAAATTAATGGTTATATTTAAACAGAATGACTCGGGAGAGAAATAAGAATTTTTAGGACAACTGTGTCAGACTAGAAAGGAAGTACGCATCAATAATTCCCTTTCACATTCGATACTTCAACTACAATGAACTTAAAAGTCCAAAAGCAAGTCATTAAGCAAAAAAATGAACAAAATGAAGAGCAAACTTGCAGGGACAGTGATGAACTGAGAATAAGGACATTTGGGTTCAATTCCGAACTATTCCTTTGCCAGTATACCTTTGGGCAGTTTCTTTGTTCCTCAGCTCCTTATCTGTTTAATAAGGATATTAATACTTGATTAATTCTACTCCTTGCCTGTATGCTTTTTGAAGGCCTCTTGAAGGTTTCTGTAGCAGAAACTACCTCTTCTTTTATCTGTAAAAATCTCAGCAAAATGGAGGCCTGTTTTTTGTTGAAGACACAAGAAGAAATAAAGGCAAGAATCACAATCAGAGCTTACATCTACCACAGACCTGGTAGAAACTGCTGTTTAGTATCAGTAATATGGGGCTGTACAATGTGTAATGCTAAAGATGGCCCTTTAGACAGCTTCTAATTAAAGAGTTGACCTGTGAGAGCCAATAAATATTGGGACAGCCATAACAGATCTAGAAAAAAACAAAAAAACAACAGTATATTTCCCTGTCAATAAAAAAAAAATTAAAGTGTTGAAAATTTTCACTGAGAAAAACAGATGAACAGATATCAGTACAATTTTTTGTAACAAATAAAAGTCTGATTAAAAATGTTAAAATTAATGTGTCATTTTGAAATCAGTATTTCCATACAAATGGATTTTTAGAGCTTCTCATTTAAAAAAAAAAATTATGCCTTTTCAATTTTTTATCCTGGTTTATGAAAAACACAGATGCTGATCTACTGAAATTTCCATGGCTATTTATATTTGAACAACAAAAATTTAAGACTCATTTGGTTTTGTTTCGGGGTTTTTTGCGGGCCTTCCAGAAATCAGGTTTTTGCGGGATCTTGAACCAAGACAGCTCAAGGCATTCCAAGTACAGGAACTGCTAACGTGTTCTATTATTAAAGTATATTTTTCTTGACTAGAAATAGTTGCTGTAAGTGTGGAAAGTATTTCTACGGCTCAGTATAACTTCCCTGATAGTGCAGATGGTTCAAGCTCTAATTCACATAGTTTATGTAAAGAAACAGTTCAATGGACTGAAAAGAAATATGTATGTTTTCAGCATCAGACCTTTACTGAAAAGTACCTTAAAAGAAAAGGAAATGACTGATTTTACATGCTTTAGAATTGACAGAGAAAGCCAAATACAGCTGTTGTGCAAATGTTTAAAGTAAATTACTAAAAAAGTCACTAAAGAAAGAGTTCTAAGTTACAGTAAATCATTGACAGAAATGCCTGCTAAAAACAACTAACATCCTGTATCATGCAAAATCTTCTCTCTCAAAAGCACACACACTTTAGAAAATAATCCACTATTCTTGCTATGTATATGTTGCTATTATAGTGATAAAAGAAACAAACAAACCTATTGCTTCATTAGTGTACTGGATACATTTTAAAGGTTGCTGTGCTTGCTTTTTCTTATATTTTTCTTTCTTCCATAATGCATAAGCAAGTGAAAAAAAAAATCCTATACACTGTATTCTGAAAAATAACCGGTCTTTACAAATTGCAGTGAATATATAACATGTTACTTGTTATATAATATAAATAATAATAATATAGATATTTGTAAGCATGCAACATTGCATGGGGAAAGAAAATCCAGATGATTTTATGCTTCCTATTTCAATATACATCTATGTTCTGTAGGAAGTTTACTGTAATTATGACTTCATGTTTTGTTTCTATACCCTAAAGATAAATAAGTTTCTGGATCAAGTGAAGAGCTAAACATCAGGTATTAACCAAAAAATGAACATATTTAATGTAGTAGAAAGCTTGGTAAATATCCTTGAACCTACTAATAGTGAGTACTTTTATAAGATCAGTAGTATTTTAAAGGATTTTTTTTCTTTTTTTGATGAGTTGCTGGAAGAATTGAAAATACGTATTAGCAATGTCAATACTGTCACAAAAATAAATGACGATGAATGATTTCAAAAAGGGTAGGCTTCTTTTGCATTTGGAGACCACTAATAAAAGTAAACTTTTGCATACTCTGATAATTCTTCACTAACAATATATCTGTACAGTTGCATGATCATTAGGAATGTAATTAACCTATTTTTCTTGTCCTAATTACAAGGCAAAAGGATTCACCTGGGTAAAAGGAAAAATGATTTTGTTTAGAAGGGAAATACAAATAATGCCCAAAGCCTATTAAATCTGTTGCCATGACAATCAAAGAGCCTGGTCTTGTAAAACCTTCCATAATTTATTCACATGAGTAGTTCTTACTCACACAAGTTGTCCCATTGATTGAAATAGCACTGCTGATGTGAGGAGAGATTTGCAATGGGAAACTTGAATTTAGGATGCCATCCTTGTTCACATAAAATGCTGAGGGGACTACTTCCACAAGTGCGTGCTTCTTTCAGCAGTGAAGATTGGAAAATGACATTTATGGTTTGTGTTGTCCTTCCTCAGTTTTCCTTATTGGTTCTTATACTAGACACACATTTTAGATGGTAAAATACACAAAAAATCTATTTCAGTGCACATGTATGCATATTTTGAACCTTTACTCCTAAAATGAAGGCTGGTTCCTCTGAGCCCTACTGAAAAATTGTCACACTACAGGAATGGATTTGTATCTTTTCTGTTTCCTCCTACTGCAGTGATCTGAAACAGCTGCATTACTATTCTCTCTCTAAAAACTGTCTTATGGAGTCCTTCATCATACAATGAGGTGATGTATCGGCAACTACCACAAAATTCCATCTTTTCAATATGAGTTAAGCTGATTCTTCTTCTTGAGTCCTGGTTTGGCCTGGCCTGGCCTTTTTGCTTTTGCTCTTTGCATCCCTCTCACCCTCAAAACCTGCTGCCAGGTACCCGTCACCTCCATACTCAGCTGGACAGTCCGTGACAACCACGACACAAACCTGCTCCTGGTTCATATCTAATCCCACCAAAAGCAGTGGGATTTGTGAGGGATTACCCTCAGACCGAGGCAGGTCCTTACCGTAATTTGCTCCTCAAGAGGCACTCAACTTTCACTCTTCCAAACTCAGTGACCAACCAGAATGCGTAAGAAAATATACATATTTCACATCACTACTCTTTCATCTTTCAGTTCTACCCTAATATCTGAAACAGAGATACAAGTAAACCAGGCTTTCTGAAAAACGAACCTGTCCTTCCATCTTGTTACACTCACTATAGAATTCCTTATCTGCTTGACAATTTCCTGATAATGACCCTAAATTTTGTTAAATCGGTTAGTTAGTTAACAACATTACTTTGCACTCCCCTAGCACCTTTCATCCACGAAGATGAAAGCACATTACAGCTGTTAATGAAAAATATCTTGCAACATCCACTGAAGCCATTCATAATAATTCTCAACACGCCGCTAATACATGACAAAAACTGTTTGATATGACAGAATCGCATACTGAGTTTGCTTATTTTACAACTTGGGTCATCAAGAGTAACATTGTCATAATTCACAGTGGTCATTTTTTGGCTTTCTAATGCATTGAAAAGGATCTGCCTCCCATTGTATCTAAAACATAGCATCCAAGTCTGTGTTTGATATTTGTTTCCCATGTGAAATAAAGTAAATCTTTTGTACCTGCAGATCTTGCAGACATTCAAAACCCTTCTGTAGCTTTTATTTACTCAGATAATACTTAACCAGAACAATCTTACGTTGCTACAGAATTTCTTTTACCTTCTATTTTTGCCTTCAAGCGGTCAGTGCACAACTGAGGTGCAGGGAAGGTATAGCACCATGACCCCAGACAGACAGAGCAAGAAAGAGGAGGCAGGAGGAGAGGAATGGAGGAAAAGAGAGAGAAATGTCAAAGCAAATACTTAAACACTCTCTTTAGAGTGGAAATATGTACAACAGAGCTACTGATGTTCCAGTCCAAGTGCAAACAACAGCACAGGTGTGCACAAACATACACACGCACATACACACTGTCACAAAGCAAGGGAGAAAGACAGCAATGATCTTACAAAGCTGCTGCAGTAATCAGGACACTTGCTCCTGGAAACAAGCATACAGACAAATGTTCTGTTGTTAGCTTTCTACATTTTTTCAATTTTCATTTGATTATTGCTATTATTTTTACCTCTCACCGTAACAGAAATACCATTATTATTGAAAGGAAGGAAAAAGGCCTTACCATGCAGTGCATCAGGAAGAGATGAGAAGCACAGAGCATGCTGCAGAGATTAAGCTCAGCATGGCATTCAGATATCCTTTGGAATTGAAGAAAATTGTCCAACCCATTCTTCCTAACAAGGCGGACAAGTTTTCTCTAGGCTTGAATTTTTCACCAGAAGTCAGATCCTTACAGTGCATTATATTTTCTTCTTCCGGAGATATATTTCCTCCAGTTAAGTTTCAGCTCCGCAATGCCATTTTCAATCAGCTCTAAGAAGTTCTTCATTCCCAGATTCGTGGTGTCATCAGAGGGACTCCAAAGAAAATCAAAGAAAGAAAGAAAAACAGAAAAGAATACCTTACCAAAGCCCTGAAATTATTATGCAGAAAAGAAGAAGAAAAAAACAACCACCCCTCATTTATTCTGATACCTATATGTTTCCCAAAATCAGTACCACCTCTTTAGTCTCCTATATGCAGTGCTGATTACCTGTAATAAAGGAAGAGGCAAAAACTTTCCCAGTTCACACATGATGCATTTTCATTACTGCTGCTCAACTGTGCACTAGCAAGCAACCCTTCTCATCCTGAGGAATCTTTAAAACCATCTGACAAAAACATCAGCTGTCCCTTTCCCTTCCTATAGAAATTGAATACTAGAATTTCTAGAAAAGTGTCGGAGAGAGCTTGACAAATAACCCCAAAATACAAATTAGATCTAAAAGCAAAACCCTCAAAGCAGAGGAGTTCTGGAGCGAGGAGATACCTTGCCTGAAGGAAAATGGGGATACACGCACTACATCATCGCAGGGAGGAAGAAAGGGGTAACGGATGGTGGCTAACGGGGGTTTGGAGGGGACGGGGCGGGACCGCCTGGGTGTCAGGCAGGAGTGGGATCCTGAGTCACCCCCAGCTTCCTGCCTGCTCCCTGACAGCAACTCGGGCTTCCCCTGCACTTTCTGCAAAGCATATTAATTGATTCTGGTTGCTGAGCAACTAACTCTGGGGAGCCACATCGACGGCTCCGGCTCAGCTTCAGCAGCAGCAGC